TGTTTGTCTGCTTAAGGTTACTTATTAATTATGATTGCCTACTTCTTGGGAAGCAAAGTTGCTCCTGATTGAATCATTTAGAAAGAAAATTTTTAAAAACGCGATCCTCAGTTTGCAATGATTATTTTCCCCTTTGGCTGCTTTAAACTATTGTTTACTGTTCGTTCAATCAGACATTATCCCCATTCTGAGAAATCAACACTAGTGTCTAATGTCCGCATGTTAGCTTCCCTCCGGCCACAGTAAATGGAGCAGCACAAATAACACAATTCTTATAAATGGGGAACAAAAAGGGCCAATTTTGTAGGCTATTTAGAAAGGTTCAACATCAAATTTTCAACATTATCCATTTCTGTCCACCTATTTATAAACAAATTGTGTTTGAAGAATTCCAATAAAAAGCTATCCACAAGCTACATATATACCTACAGTACATACAAAGTCCTATAACCAGAAGCTGGGTACATCCTGTAACATGCCTTTAGGCCAAATCCATCACAATCCTATAATCATGACTAATTACTAGCTTGGTAGAAAAAAAAGGAACTGTCGCCAAGCCTGGACAGAACTGCTGCGGAACTATCCCGCCTAATAGGCCTGGTCTTTTGAAACAGAACTGATAAAATCATATTTGTCTGATTGGTCTAAAGCAAAGCTATAATATGAAGGTGGACCAAGTATTTTTCAAATCTAGATAAGACAAAAATTGGGTTAAGTTACGCCGTTGTCTTCACTGTTGCCATCAGAATGTGGGTAAATTGATTTTGGTTGCCTAGCAACTTGTGTTTGAATGTAAGCATGGCTTGGCGTCCTTGTCTCATACTTCACTAACAGTATCTGTCCCAAAGAAATTCAATTAAGGTTTCGTCTCAACAGTGTGTTTCCATTTTGACTTTCAAACGTGCACATTTTCTCCAGTTATTTGGAATTCCTCTAGGTACAATCATGCTTTTTTCTACCTCCATGGTACAATATAATAGTAGACCTCACATAGAGCATAAGGCAAGGCAAATAGTGCATAAAATTCATGTAAAAACAGTACATGAAACTGTTCCAGTGCTTTTATCATTTACTCTTGTAGCACACAATAGTTTCACTTGAATACTGAACTGGGAAGAAGCAATTTTTAAATTTGAAGTTGGACTAATCAAAGTAATATCAAAGTTGACACAAAAGTAATATCTCGCAGACTATCTACATCGCAGAAAAACTATAAGAGTGCCATATCTTGCTTACTCAATGCCTCAGCATAACTTTTACAAGCTACATTAAAGGCCAGATACTGTACACAGCATTGGCAACAAAATACATGCTTTCAAGTGAGTTGTGTATACAAAGTACTTTGTTGTCAAACACAAAGGCCTGAATTTAAACCTCATAAATATTTTGCTTTCTCCTGGCAGCTCTCATGTAAGAATAATACTGTCCAATTAAAAAGTCAGAATCAAATCACAACAGTTCATGAAAAAGTTGTTATCATAAAAGACGGCATATTTCCGTTGAGGAAGTTTTAATGAACAGGAGGAAGTCAGTGTATGAAGGGCAGTTTTCATCAACAGAGTGTGAGTCACCTTGGTGTTCTGGATGAGTTCCATTGAAAGAGTTGGGAATGCCAAGACTGTGGCTCAGGGTCTACTGTTTCAAGTCACCTGACCTGAGGTGTCTCTGGTAACAAGACAAACACCTGTTGGAATGACTGGAACAAACACTTGTCTGGGGTGACCTTAAAGAAACACACTTCTCAGGCCCCTGTAAGAACTGGACACAGTTTCAATTGTATCTCATGACTTCTGTGAAGAGCACAGTCAGTATTGTATATATCATGGCTCCGGGGTGTTTCTTTGTGCTTCAAAAGTGCCCAGGTACAAAATTTAGGGCATTTTCAAAGACAACGTTTATCTAAAATTTTATAGTATAAAAATTAGTTGGAACTGACAAACTTGCTTTCAACATCTCTGAATTGAAGGCTATCTTTGAATTAAATATTTGTCTTTAACTCCATGGTAGACTTCAAATAAAATACTGCTATTGTTTTAACTACATTATTGCATTCCTTGTATCACAAAATATAAAGCAGACACTGCAGTCTTGTAAATGGGAATGTCTTAGAGAACATAGCTCTCAAATCTCAGCTAGTACTCCTATGTTGTGTGTTTTACTGAAGCCATTAGTTTGGTACTCCTACCTTCACATCTGGGTGCACATGAATGGCACACACTGGAACCTTTTGTCTACCTTCACACCTTGAGTGGGATGTAAGTGGACCTGAGCACAATCACAGGGAAGCAAAACTTCTCTGATGACCTGGTTGTTGAGCAAACACAAGCTTTAATTGAAAAGCAATGCTGGCTCTAGTGGACTTAGACTTCTCTTCCGACCAATTACAGTATTGTAGTCATCAACTCCAGATGCAGTAAGCATAACATACGGTATGTTCAAAAGAATATTCTCTTCAAAATATGAACCACATTTAAAAAGCATTGAAACCTTTTCAATCTATAAACTACTTTGCCATGAAAGTTCTTCCTTACAACATACTTTAGATTTAGACATCCATTAAAATGTTGACTTAACAGGTGGTTCTGATCACAAAATGGAAAGAGCTACATAGTCATGGTCATTTTAGTAAGGAACAGCATTTTGTGGTAGAAACAACTGTTACAGTGAATGCTTTTTGCTATTTCAGCTCCTTTTTGATTAACTCTTAGGATCCTGCAGTAAGAGTGTCATTACACAAAAGTGGTTCTGTCACACTCACGGTATACAGTTAAATAATGCTTCGGTCGGAAATGCCATTTAAGAGAGACCAATCTAATTCAGTAGTGCTTCGATCACTGTTTCATGTTTAACTAAATAAAGAATTTCAAAGCAAAATCAAAGAGGAAAAGCTGTTTCCTCCCAGATTGAAATTACTGTACAGTACAAGAACACCTTTGTATTGAGCAAATGAACAAAGCACAATCCAAGCACAAGCAAGAACTTTTTATTGGGCACATAGTATGAAAATATGATATTCTCTGGCATTGAATAGTTGCCAAACATTGTGTCCATAACCCAATTTCTTTTTTTTTATCATCACCTGTATGGTCAATCAATATTGACAGTGACAGAATCCTAGCTATGGCTAAGGAACACTAATAGTATACAACAAAGTCAGTGTTTGCCACATAAGACATACTTTTATCATAACAATTGTTTCATCTCACCTTCATGTGCAGGTCAAAGTACATCAGTCAGTCCTACTGGGCCTACATCCACTGGAGGCAATACAACAGCTACTCTCACCAGCACGGGCCAAACAACTGTGGGCAGTGCATCTGTTGCAACCACAGTGACAGCAAATGTCACAACCGTTCCAACCACAGCCTTAGGAGACAATACAACAGCAGATTCTCTCACTATTTCTCAAACCTCCAACCAGCCAATCACATCAATGGTTTCTGGTCCAAAATCATCAACCTTTGCTCCAACAGCATCATACATGCTGAGCTCATCCCCTAGCAGTTCAATAGCTGAGAGCGACTTTGAGGGTTCGGGGATGAGTGTGTCAGATTCAAGCCAAAACTTCATCTACATGACAACTACCTTTGTTGAACCAACTCCAGTTCAAGTAGAAATGACTCCAACCATGTCTTTCAGTTTGGTTGAACCAACCCCAGTTCAAGTAGACATGACTCCAACCATGTCTTTCAGTTTGGAGGAAACTAGTTCACAACCAGTACCTTTCCAAACACAGTTGACCACTTTACTGTCTCCCTCTCCAAGTTTTGCCATAAGTGCCAGTAGAACAGTGATGCCAACAGCCAGTCTCAGCTCAGGCATGTCATCCAGTAGTATTTTCCCAACTCCAAGCTACATAATGGAAACTGTCTCCATGTCCACAACAGTACCGAACCTCTTCCCATCCACAATAGGGTTTGAGGGCTCCGGAGACAGTACAGGAATACAGATGCCATCTGTTACCCTGGCAACTGTTCCCATGTCAACACCAGCAATGGCATCAGTCTTATCAACCATAGAGCTGGAGGGGTCTGGCGACAGTGAATTGCCATCTGTCACCTTGCCAACTGTTGCCATGACAACAACGATGATGTCCTTTAGCTTAGACAATCCTGGGGACAGCACAGTGTCATTGGTGCCATCTGTCACCATGGCAACAGTTGCAACAGCAACAATGCCATTGACCTCACAGGCATCCCCAGACTTTGGAGGTTCAGGGGATGATATTTCGACTTCACTGTTCCCCACACCATCCTTCAGTTTGTCTGCACCACCTGCCACAGCTGTGCCCAACACCACTCAGCCTGCAGAAACAACGTCATCTTCAGCAACCGAGATGCCCACTACTGAAGTGAACACAGTCACAGTGACGACTGAGTCAGATCTGACTACAGAAATGGTAACAGTCATGGAAGACACGACATTTGAACTGGCAACAGTCGTAGAAGACACCACATTTGAAATGACAGAAATAGTCACTGAAACTCCCAATGTAACCAGCATGACAACACTCCCAACCTCCACCCAAACGACTGATGTAACAGCACTGACAACAGAGACAGATGTTTTAACCACCATAATAGGTGATGGGAACGACACTACAACAGTAGTCAGTACAACAGACATCCAAAATACTACGGCAGAACCTACATCAACAGTGGCAACCTCCATTATGACAGGAACTACCCAAGTAACAGCAGCACTGACAACAGAAGTTTTAACAACGATAAGCGAGGAGAATGACACGACAGTTGTCAGTACAACGGAGGGTGAAAGCAAAACGGCAACCTCAATTGGGACAGAAACGACCGATGCAACAGTGCTGACAACAGTGACAGAAGTGTTAACAACCATAGTGAGTGATGAGAACGACACTACAACGGTGATCAGTACAACAGAAGGTCAAAATATAACGGCAGAACCTATTCCAACAATGGCAACCTCCATTGAGACAGAAACTGAGATTGCCAATGT